GTACCATGACCTTCATTGTTGTTGTAACTATGATGTCATCACTCAAGTTTCTTCAATCTAGCTGTTACATTATTAGCTTCTCACTGCTGTAGCTAACTGCAAGAATGAAGGTTTACTCAATTGTTAATATTAGATCTTAGCTTTCAACAGAAATTATTGCGTTTATTCCTTCTCACTCTTGTTTTTTTTTTACAAAAATCACACACCCGAGTATAAAGCATACATATATATAAAAAAATTAGGTTTCAAGAAAAAATATACTCTTACCAATACATCAATAGTAGTAATGCAAAAAAAAGACAGAATAAACCCTTCAATAACAGAGGGAAAGAAATGAGAGAACGACAGGAAGAGAGAGAGGAAGAGAAAAAAAATAAAAAAATAAATAAATTAATTAAAAAAAATGGAAACAAGCCAGAAAAATGATCTAAATAACAGTTACACTGCACTGTTTACCATTTACACTTCAGAATAGTACTACATATCCATGAAGGCACAGGTGGCATACTAAGAAACTGAGCGGCTGTCAGGGTCAGTCTCACTCTTGTTTGTTAAATTAGCATTTTTAAAAAGAGTCAGCACCTTCAAGTCACACCAACTCGGTGACCGCAGCCGCCTCTGCGACCTGCACTTTCTATCTGTAGTTTGCTAGCACATCACTTCACTCTTTATTAGGATTGGTTGAACTGTTTGTCTAATAGATCAAAGATAGGAATAATAAAAATGTGGCCACATCAGGCTAAACTTTGTTTCTGACCATCATGCTCATGGGAGAGAGCATAGCCAATTCTGATTGCTTTACCTCCTGTCTAATGCTGCCTCTTTTTGCTACGGTGAAGTCCGATAACTCATTACACTCTGTCATTTGCTTGTTTTAAAACGCTACTAAGTATTCGTTGTATTGAAGCAATTCTTCATCGTCTTAAAATGCTCTTAAGTCAAGCACAGGGGGAACTGGCATAGGCCCTGAGGCTTCTCTGGTCCCGGGCCATTGTTCATGTTTATCTACATCTGTGGGGACAGGTTTGGCTTTTTTGTTCTGAATGATGGCTGTGGGATCAGAACTTAGTGTGAGATAGAAAAACTGATGAGTATTTGGTCTGAGATCAGGTCCTCCAGGCTTCATCTGAAGATATATATTTTTACCTTGTTGGATGGATTAAAGAGAGCGGTTAATAAAATGGCAACAAAGACTTTGACCATCACATAAAAGGTAGCTGGAAGCTCTGCTGACTGAGCAGCATTTTAATTCCTGCTAGCTGTCAGCATGGGGCCTCTGGCTTTTCATTAATTTCCTCCCCACTATTAATTAACCATGTGCCATGTGTGCTTGCTTAATTAGGCCTCGGGGCCCAGCGCTCTGCTCTCTCAGTGCTATTTCTAGACAAACCTAATGATAAGTTTATTCAAACTGTGGATAAAAAGAACTCTTGAGAGGCTAGTTTTAGCAGCTCTATCTATACATTAATCATTCTGCTCTGAACTTAAACTCATTTTATGTCTTATTTCACACCATTGTCTGATTTGCTGTAAGTTTAAGATCTTTTTTTTTATTATTTTTCCATGAATTAGGAATCACAGGTTGGCAAAGTTGATCAATCGGCCAAATAAAAAGCAGAAATTCCCTCATCATAAAGGCCCACAAGCCTTACATCAGGTGTGGCTCCTGCTTCAGCATATCTGGTAGTTACTCCTCAGTGCAACAGCCGTCAGCTTTGGACCAGGCTGCACTACATGATCTATCATCCAGCTTACAACAACAGTCCCCTCCTTGCATGATTCCTCCTGCCTGTGTTTGGGTCATCTACCACTACAGGACAGGACAGACAGACAGCGGTCCATATGACTCTCTGTAGGAGGAACAAACATTAAAAATGCTGTAGTAGTATTTCTAAAAACATGTAAACTAGCTGGACTTTCTTAAACATAAACAAAGATATGACTAAGGCAGTACGTATGAAATAGTCACCCCATCAACAAAATCATCAATTTGTGAAGGGGAATACATTAAATGTTTTCCCTTTGCAAGAGTGTTCATCGATACAGAGGGAATAAAAAGTGGAACCGATTCTTAAAATGTATAACTGCATTGTCTGATAATGATCGGCTAAAGTGAGACATTCCTTTGGGGCAGGAGTAATTTTGAAGGTAACTAAAAAGTGGTTAGAGAGGACAGGGTTGTGAGAAAATATTGTTATTCCTTCACATTCAATGCCATGTGTCAGCACAGGGTCCAAAGTATGAAGATGAGAATGTGTGTGACTATGCACATTTTCAACAAAGCCAAGCTATGGTAGAACTATTTAAATATGTAGTAAAGCTTTCGTAGAACTAGTTAAAGAGGTAGTAAAGCTTTGGTAGTATTAGTTATTGGTAGTAAAGCTTTCATAGAACTAGTTAAATATGTTGTAAAACTATGGTAGAACTAGTTAAATAGGTATTAAGGGTGTGGTAGAAATGGTTAATAGGTAGTGAAGCTATGGTAGACCTAGTTAGATAGGCAGTAAAGTGAAATAATCATTATTATTTCTATATTAGCCATTTTGTTTGAGTAATGTCTGGGATTGACTACCATCTCTGTTACCTGAGTACAGTTTTGTGACTCTACTTGTGAAAACAGTGAAAAGAGAATATATATGATTATTTTAAAGCAGTTAGAAAAATAAAAAAATAGATATTTTATCTTTCTAATTAGCTTTTCTTAATCAGAATTATTTCTCTCAGATCTTCGTTGTTTCAACAGTCAAACAGTGATGGTGAGAAAGCTTGATGAAGACGCGTCTGGCAGCTTTTAAACCTATTTGTGTTTGTTAAACAGTCTGGTTCTGCTCAGTGACAGTCCTGCTATGTCTCAATCACCATTCTGTCACATTTCTAATAGACTATGGATGCCTACCACCTGTAATTACTGCAGGGTATCTGGCCCTGGGTTGCGGTTTACTTTCTTGTATTTAGTAAACATGACACAGAGAATCCCTGAGATATTCAAGGGATGGAAAACGAGATGTGCAACCCCCTTGGCCTCTTATCAAATTTGCATTCACAAATTTCTGCTGTTTTGCCTTTCCTCGGTTCACCATCTTTGTTGACCTGTTTGGACTTACAACAACCCTGATGAGGCAATTAAATTTCCCAGCCAAAGCCAGCCGTGGAGGAGATCAATTCTGTCCTCTAGCATCAGGTGGCAGGTCCCTGCATTCATTACCGTCTGCATATGTTTCCTAATGGGAATGGATTTGTGCTTATGAGTCAATGCTGATATTATTGAATCTGAGGAAAGCGCCTGCTCTCTCCTTTGCCTCTTTGAAAGCTTTTCTGTCTTTCATGAAGGATCTTTATGGTGTTTTATCAGTGTAAATCCCCAAAAGATGAAGCACTACCTATATTTCACTTTATTTTGTTACAAAAGCTAATTGCATTTTTGGAGGTGAGGCTGAGGGAGATCAGTGGCTTAGTTTAATTTGAAAGTATTCTTGTAGAGAAGATGGTCTACAGTGTCTGTTTTCACGCTGATCTCCCCATGTCTTGCTTTTACTCAGTGATTGCTTTGGTTACCTTCAGGTTTCTGAGTGGTGGTCCTCTAGGGGCCTCATTAGCCATCAGGACAAGGCCATAATCTTTAACTTACTGAGAAAGACTACACGGCCAGCCCTGACCTTCACATTTCCATGTGTATCAACACATACAGTAAGGTAGGGTATTTTGTCAAAAGACAGAAGCAGGAGCTTCGTTCAGATCTCACTCTGGGGTCTAATCTACATAGAACCTGGAGAAGCTGTTTTTTGCCCCGCACTGCTCTACATCCCATCAGACAGAACAAAAGTTGCTGGAATTTGAGCTGAGGAGGATGCTTGATTGGCTGAAAGGGGATTAAACATTTATAGAATGGAAATAAGTCGGCATTGGTTGACCGTCCAATTTAGGCTGTGAAGCTTTTCCTCCCAACAGATAACAAAGAGCAAAGCTGCCGTAACCTTCCTACGACAGTGAGCGGATCCATCTGTCTGTTTTTAATGTTTTTACAAATAAACAAGAACTCCTGCTATTCAGAAATAAATAGATAAAAATATTCACTCCCTTCCTACCTCTGCAGGCCTGATTTACACACAAACTCAGCTGTGTTTATCCCAAGGGAGGCCTCAGCCGTGCAAGTTTATGGTAAAGGGAGAAAACCTTTGGTTTCATCTAAAGTGGTTTCTTCACACTTCTGAGGGAATTCTTCATGGTTCCAGAAATACCCTGCTCTCAGACTTAATGCCTCTCATTGTTTTTCGTTCTGCTGTTTACACTTAAACATCCTTTATGCACCAGTGAGAAAAGTTTCCGTCACAGTCTTTCTAAATGACACCTTTCAGTGGTTTTGGTGTCACTGTGTTCTGTGGGTGCTGCTTTACTTGGCCTAAAAAGTGCTTACCTATCAGCTGCTGATTGGCTGGATGGGCCTGAGATGCAGGACTGCAGATGATCACACATCAGCTAGAAAACCCAGAAGTAGCACTGGGCACTAAGAAGTCGGGTCAGAACATTCTGAGGTGTGTGCCTGGTCCAGTTTTCACTCCAGTTCATGTGTCAGTCAGTTTTTTATAAAACCGTGATGGCTTTTACTTTCACGCTTTTATTCAATTTGAATTGGTGCTGTTTTTGTGTAGTATTTTGTGGCAGAGATCCAATCAGGTCTCATTAACGATGAGGGGAGTTCTGTTCCACCACATCCAAGGTATATGAGATTTCAGATAAGGGTGTAGAGATAATCCGCCCCGCCATTAAATTGAGCTTCTTCGACATCCTATAAGAGGAGAAAATTTCTTTGACCTCACGTCCAATATTCATCTTCGAAATCTAAATGTAATCAAACATTGTGCTAAATAAATGTTTAAAAACAGAATATTTATTTTCCCATGAATTATTATTTCTAGTAATTGTAAAAAAGGTGGCCACAGGTGGCCAAAACAAAGTCCTAGTTTGGATCTTGTTGATGCTGATCTTTTCTTTCCTTGCAGCTTCAGCACTGCCTACCAGTGTATCTACTACTCCCCGCAGCACACAGCCAAAGCCCAGGAGGTACTGAGCACTGTCAGCCTCCTCCAGCCCCTCATCACAGCCTTGGCCGACCAGCTACTCCAGGCTGCCCTTGAACATTCCTCCCCTGGACTCAAGGAAGCCCTGAAGAGCCTCTCTGACAAGGTGAGTCTCTGCAGCAGCAGACACAAATCTTTGTTACTTAGATGTTGGAGATCTTCCACTAAAGGTTTTTATACGTCAAGCTCCACTTTTCTGCCAACAGGTTTATATGTTGAAAACAAAACGTTTATTGAAATGTTTTTAGATCTTTCAGTTCAAAAACTAAATCAAAATGTAAGCAGCAGCAGCACCACGGTGGTTTCTGGAGCGTTTTTATCAGTATAATTAATGAATTACATCTGCTGCTGTCAGATTGCAATCTGTTGTGGGAGGCATTGTTTGTGCCACAGTGGAACAGAGCCCAATCAGCCTCTTTAATTGGTACATGCGCTGTCACCGTTTCCTCTCATCCTTGATTAGACACGCGGCACCCTGGCCTGGTCAGTATGAGGAGGGCCGCTCACTGATTACTATCTCCAGCTTGCTGTTTATGTGTGAGGCAACGGGAGGTGAAACGGCCAAAGGCTCTATTTGTTTGTCAGAAAGCTGATGATGACATCTTCCTCTTCTTCTCTCCCTTCCAATCCCAAAGTCTCTGATCAGGAGCAGCAGCATCATGTTGCATGAAACAGTGGAGGGACTAGAGCAATTCAGATTCGCTCACGTGTAAAATCCACCCTGCTTTAAGAAAGCACAAACAATTTCTTCTCTCTAAGGTTCAGATTAATAATCCATCTGTTTTAATTAAACCTCATATCGAGAGCTGAAGGAGGAATTTGACGCCTCAGATGTTCCAGTGCTTCTGATAACGTCTGAGAGAATAAAATGCTTCCATGAAAGTTTGAAATTAGCAGAGCTGAAAGGGGCTGAGATCCCAAACCTCTTTTTGATCTTCCTTATAAAGTCCAATAAAACAAGATGAAAAGGAAAGCAGTTTTGGCCTAAATGATGTCAGAATGTGTCGTTCAAATTATGGTTCAAGATGTTGGAAGTTTTTAAATATCAGATCTTCTCTTGGTTTTAGTGGAATGTTGACAAACGCTGCAGCTGCTTGCAAAATATATGAATCAGCAAAACATTTGTATGAGTTTATGGTCTGAGAAAATATTATGAGAAAAACTATGAAAATTGAAGCAATTCCTTGTGATAACATTAGCAAGCACTCTATCATCAAACAGCCCATGAGGAGTTTATAAAGGTGTACATGGCAAGGATACCGGATTCACATAGCATCCCTATACAAACCACGTGGGGAAGGGCGAGGAAGCAGCCAGTGTTGGATTCCACTGCGGGAGAGCATTCACTGCTCCACTCTGACCTTATGCTACTTGATATAACTGAGTTGTTGTCAAACAGCGGCACCGAATGGAGAGAGTGGAGCGGTGACCCTGAAGTTGAAAAAAGCTGTACTTTTAGATGAAATTGCGACACAGGAACCAATCAGGGACTCGTTGTAGGCAAAGATTGTTTTAGTTAAAATGGAATACAGAGAATATTATATTATCAAAGTATGAAAGAAGGAATGCTCTGAAGAGGATTTTAGGTGGCTTTAAAAAGGCCGTTTTAATTTAGCCCTGGAAGGATTGTTTCATTGTAGGGCTTGTAGGGCTAAATTAAAACGGGGTGAATTAAAACCCTGGTCTGGCTGCCTCTGCCCAGCATTGGAGCTTTCTGCGCGGGTAGATTTACAAGGAAGTACCACCTGATCCGTCTGTCATCAAGAAGCAACTCTGGATGAAGCAAAGTTGGTCTCTTTTTTTTCAGCGATTATGGGCTTATTCAAAAATTTATGGTAGGCCGCACTCCCAAGCTTATTCAAAAGTTGTGCATAGAGAGCAACTTAACAGCAGTCCGTGATGTCAAGTTTTACCTGCGCTTTTGTATTTTGCTTCTTTTTATATGTCTACTTCTGTCTCCTTGAACCTAGTCGGCCTCGGCAGATGGCCGCTCACACTGAGCCTGGTTCTGCTGGAGGTTTCTTCCTGTTAAAAGGGAGTTTTTCCTCTCCAATGTCATGGACAGAGAAGCAGATCACAGGCCTGTTTCTTTGCTGGAAGTAGGACAACGAAACAGTCCTTCCAGGGCTAAATTAAAATGGCTTTTTTAAATCAACCTAAAAATCTCTTAGGAACATTTTCCACCTCTTGTCAACATTATTTTCTCTATCTTCAATTTTGATTTTAAAAAGCCTTTCTGCTGCCGCCTTCAATAAAACAGTGGTCAATTCATGACAGTTTCATATCTCCTACTTGTTAGACTTAATAATACAATGTCAATGTACATGAGACCACAGTATTAAAGCTACAGTGTGTAACTTTTAGCGACATCTAGCGGTCAGACTGCAGACTGCAGCAACATGAACATCTCCCCACCACCGCTTCTCCCCCCCAACAGTACGGCGAGCGTTACGGGACAAAATGTCTTCCACGACGTCCGCATCACCTACCTTCTCAAGTGATGAGGTTTGTTTACTTAGATAATTTTACAGATAGTATTTCAATAGTCCGTGTAGGGTATAGATTTCATGTAGACTTAAGATAATAAATATACCCGTTATTTTTTCTACATCGTTGTGACGTTTTGGCGATCTCGCAATCGCTAGTTTGTTGGCTCTGCGCTGCCGTAGCGCAAAGATGTCTGCCTCCATGGCTGCGAGACCCGCTATGTAATTATAAATAACGAATTCTAAGGCAACGCAAATATTAAGGTTAAGAGGCTGAGCTCGTAGATGATGATAAATAACATAGTTATGTATAATATATTACATTTCTGACTGTATATCCCTGTAATTATTACACACTGTAGCTTTAAACACATGGATTTGATGCTGTGTTCAGCAAATACTGATTTTAGTGCCTGATTCCCACAATCCTGATGGTGCATCCATGAAAAAAACCTTGCATCACTTGACACGAAAGGTAAACCTAGCGCTGAGGAAGCCATTTTGTATGGGTATGGGGCATTGCAGACTAACATAAGAAGCAAAACAACCCCCATTCCAAAGGGGTGGACCCGTTCATCCGTTTCAATTTGCATGTTTACTAAACAAAAACAAGGCTTTTTTGGGCTTCTGTATAAAGCCTCAAACTCAATGCTATTTCTGACATTTTGAATTGAGAAAGCTTCCTGGATGGGAAGCGAAACATCTTCAAATTTGAAAACAAAGTCCAGTGGACTGTTTTTTTAACTTTTTTGGAATGACTATGACCTGGACGACTGAGAATCTTCACCAGCATTTTATACCATGCCTCAGTGTTGTTAGAGGGGAGAAGCAGGGAATAAAACTGGTATAAGATCTGAATAATCACCATGAATGAATAAATTGTTCTTTGTTGTGAGGTGCATCTCTGATAAAATAAACTTTCCTCCACCCAAAACCATGCAACTTTCTGATTAGCTCTTGATATGAAAAAAAAAGCAAAGTTCTATAGATGATGATGATGATGTCCAATGTGAGAATCAGTGAACGGACTAATGCAGCAAACCCTTTCTTCCTACAAATGTGTCCTTGGAACATCATCATGTTCCGGGTTCGTTAGTTGAAAAAGAAAATCTCATTGGTTCAGATCTAAATCCATCTGCATATGTGAGAGGAAAGCATCCTAGGAAGCTGCTGAGATCAAACCAGCTTCACTCTTTCATCCTCCTCCTGTTTCTAAACCAAAGTTACTCCTACAGAACCCGGAAAGTCCTATTTTTAAGAGCCCAAATGTTCTCCCCTTCAGGGGAAAATCACTGAAGGTGAATGGATTTTTGTTTCCTCTTTCTTAGATCAAACCCAGCGTGTTTTTGCCTGGTCAGAGCCCACTGACGCGCTCTCAGATTTCAGACTCAGCCCCTGCTTATTCCAGATCACATCAGCAGATTCAAAATTGAGACAAGCATCTCTTTATCTTTAGGGATTTTCACGTTTTAGCTCCTTCAGAGGTGCTACTGATGAATTACACAAAAGAGTATTTTTTTGCTTAGTGTGGCTAAAAAAAAAACATCTCTTTTAACTTCTACATGAAGCACAGTATCTGCACTTCCTGGAGCATTGGACTCGATTCTGAAGCACTTCATTTGGATGCTACTTTTACCAAGTACCTCCTTCATTTACAGTGAATCAACTGTGCTTCGACCTTCTGCTCAACTTTAAATATGGGATTTTACTTAAACTCACTATAGATAAGTTAATAATACTAGAATTACAAACTAAGATTTCATTTTCTTTAAATCTCAAATATCTGCTTAAGGTTTTAGTTTTTACATCATCTTCTGGGCCTGTTTCCAAATTTCATTTTCACTAATTTGTGTTTTCCTCCAGACCGTTTGAGCCGTCTCTAGTTGCAACATGGCTGACCTACACTGAGGAACTTGAATCAGACCAATGCTAGAAGTTTAAAGGGAGACACATTGAAATATAACTGTGGTTTCCATTTGAGCGATTATCTAATGGTCGACTCTCTTTTGCAGAAATACAGTTTGGTTCATTTAAATTTAAACGCATATTTTTATTGATGGCAACAGACTGAATCTGGTCTAAACTGTTGCTTTTGAAAAACTGGAAAAGGGGATTGATACAAACTTGATGGAAAAAGATTAAACTAATAAAGTTGTTTAGGGCAGGTAGTGCTGGTTGATGATCTTCTTATTCTGCATTTTCATAACCAGTCAGTCATCCTACAGGACGCAACCTAAAAAAAACAACATATACACCAAAAAGGCCAAGAAGTAGTAAGAAGTAGTGAGACAGTTTAGACTTTTCTTTTCTTGTTTGGTTTTCCACCAGCTCTCCTGCAGAGGTGAGGTGACTGACTGAATGACTGAGTTCAACTTCCTGTTTTTTTTCAGTGAATAGATCTCTGCTCTCCCTTGGAGCAACTCCACTTCAGCACCTGACAGCTGCTTCCCTCTGTCTGCATTGTTTTATTCAACACTTTTATTATCATTTTTTGTTCAGCCTGGGCTGTTTGTCCCTTTGTAACTCCCTTCTTCTCCTTTTGCTGCAGACGGAGCATTTTGTTCACACCCTGAAGGACGAGTTGGTGAAGAGCGCCCTTTTAGCGCTGCACGCAGCCCGGCCAGGGTACGTCTCCAGGAGCCAGAGGCAAACCCCGGTATTGGGCCAGGGGGGGGACCACAGTCACAGTCCAGTCCAAGGACTTCCGGGTCACAGTCCAACCACGCCTGCCACAGAAAGCCCAGTGGTGGGTAACAATGTGGGAGGAGAGGATGGCGGGTCACTAAAGCACCAAGACTCCATACCGCACCACAAAGAGTACGATGAGGAGGAGTGGGTAGGTATACTTCAGGATTTAGGAAGACTTTCTCCTGCAAAGGAAACCCAAAAGTATGACACGTAACTAATGACATAGGTAGACTTGTTAGTGGTTTCATTCTGGAAAAGAAAATGAATTTAAGAAACTGTTCTGGGTGAAGTAAGGATGAAACAAAGAAAGTTCACATCACCATCGGCCAATTTTCTCCAACAGGGACTGTATGCATGTAAAGGCAAAAGGCCAGGTGTACCTTCTATGGACTCAAACAGAGCCCTCACACTTATTAACAACACTAAAATATCCAAATAAACAAAAGCCACCAGAACTGTAAACCTAAAGAAGTTAGCAGAACTCAAATATTTTTGAGGCAGTCAATTCAACATATTCTCATTATCAGTTTGTATGAAATCATACGAAAAGTTATGCACACTATTCCGTACGTTTTGGACGTTTTTCCTCAAAAAACTACATCAGTGCGCATGCGCTGGCAAACAGAATAAAAAAGCAAATCCGCGGACGGACATAAAAATGGGAAAAACAGTGCAATCATCACTTATTCATGTCTCTAACTACGTTACTTTCTGTTTTATATCTTAGGGTAAGGGTCAGGGTTACGGCTAATTGTAATTTATATTCTATATTCGTGAATGGTGCGTCAGATGCGCATACGACGAAAAAACGTCCAAAACGTACGAAATTAGGGTGCATAACTTTTCGTACGATTTCATACGAACTCATGAGAATACACTGGTCAGTTAGAAAAGCTTTCTAAGCTCCAATTCAGAAGTTATCAGAATACACATTTTGATTACATTTTACTACTCCTTCTAGATTTCAGTTTAAAATAAGTCATGATGCAAACTTGAAAAGTTTCCCTCTAACTATTCAAACTTCTGATTTGTGAATTAAAATGGTTGCATTTTCAAAAAACCTTCACATTCAGATATTATTACATAAACAAGCAAATAACTTGGATGTTTAGTTGGTATCCTGATGGTAATGGAGCAGCATCAGGTTACTGGTGAGATTATGCATGTGGCCACAGGGTGGATGTATGGACAGCGCATCGGTGTGGTAAAGAGCTCCTAGACCTCAATTTCAAAGTCGGGACAGTTTCATCAGGTTAGAATCAGATATCTATGGATGTGATTCTGTTTCAGAAACTCTCCAGTAAAAGATTTTTTCCTAGTTTTGCCTAAAAAATGGCTATAAGGTGTATTGTCTTTCACGTTCTTAATTTTCATTGCAACATTGCTCCAGCTTTTTGAGCACAATTTAAAGTCCCACCTCCTGCAATGTGATTGGTTCATCCAGACCAGGCTACCTTGTTATACTTAAGTTGTTCTTTAGTAATATATTGAGATTATGTTTAATTAATACACAAATAAATCTTTATTATTCGAAAGCTTTGAGTTTAATTTACTTAAACCGCAAGAATATGTTGTAATATACGTCTTCAAGCTTTCTCTCCCCAATTATTTCCTGAGAAGAGATTAATCTGAACAAAGACTTTAAATAAAAAATTATCGTTGAAATGTATTAAATAACTTTTAGACATGACAACAGATTTTGACAGAAGTTGTAATAGTATTCAGACCAGAGAAATGGCACAGGTGGCAGTGCCTATCACTGGGCTCGCTTCTTTAGAAAAGTTCACCCAGACAACCAGTTAAAGAAGCATTTTATACATTTCCAACCTGCCACATCTCACATCATTACATCATAGACGTTTGTTCATGAAGAGACTGCATGGGCTCCAGCCATATCAAAATATTACACAGTGTTCTTAGATCAAGGACAAGCCGAATGCACAGTGACAGAGCTCTCTGTTAGGAAAAGTCCAATCTGTCTGTAAGCTCCCATTTCATTCCAAAATCTTTGTTACAATCATAATGAAGACGATAACTTTTTATCCTGATTGAAGAGATATCCTAATTAGACAAAGTGCTTGGGAAAACATTAGCCGTAAACTTAACAGGAAGGTCATATTAGGGTTTAACAAGCACATACATGAATTATAAAAAATAATCCTAACAGTGTTAAACTAACTCAGCCCATTTGAGTCAGCACAAATTAAAAATAATAAGTTTCAACTACTCATCTTGACATTCGGGTTCACAGTGTGTTTTTCAGTCTGTCCTCCAGACAGAAGCAGAAACAGGAAGACTGGAGCAGCTCTCTGTGTTTTTAAAACTTGTTTGGAAAGGTTGAGCTTCCTGCCTTTGAAAAGGACTTCAGTCATTCCACACTTGTTTTTTTATCAGATTTATTTAACATGCTATGAAAAGACCTTCTCATTTACAATCACCAGCTAACTCATTTTGCCTCAAAGTTTGCATGGCCAGCCAGACTGACTTACATCGTGCTCTCAGCATATCAGTCTGGAATGAGCTGGAATTGAAAGGCGGGACTAACAGGGTCAGCAGGTACAGCTTAAAATCTATCAAATAATTACAGATGTGACACAAAAACTTTTAATTTTTTAAAGACACAATAAAGGGCAACTATAAAACGGCTGCTTTGCAGCTGCGGTCTGGACAAATCGGTTACAGCAAAGCATTGCTGCATTATGGGCCGGCCTCCCACAGTGCGATCAGTGCGCTCTGTTTTAGACCGTAGAGCGTTGACGGTATATACAAGTATATGTCTCGTATAAGTCAGTGTGATTGGTCAGGATATGTATCTACTTTCAAGCAGCCAGGATGTCCTTCGATCTTTGAAATTCTCCTGATCAACATTCCGAACACTTAATAGAATATCACCATCACAGGATAAAAGATAAAACAAAAAAAAACAGGTTAAGGTGTTTTAAAACCATTGATAAATCTCATAAACTATAAGATTTATTAAAGGGTTATTTTTGCCACATTACTTTTTTAACGGTAGGGAACCGATGCTGATCCGGTTCCATTGATTTAAATCCTGGTTCTGAGTTAAGAAAGATGATTCGGTGGAGAAAGGAGCTGATGTCATCACTTCAGACCATCATTTGCATTTCCTGCAAAATTTTATGAAACTACAGACATTTTGTCTCATTTTAGCAGAAATGATTTTTGAACATTTGGCAGAGAAAATCTGTCTGAGGAGGATTATTATGTTTCATCCTCATCGCTGAAACCAGGCCAGCTTCTCAATGAGCGTGGACGCCTCTTTGTTTGTCTTCTGTCACACCGACTGCAGACGCGTCATTCAATTATTTCTTGCCGTTTAAACAACCTAAATTTGTTTTTAAATGAAGAACTTGTAGAATCAGGCAGAGCTCATCTGCAAACAAACTCAGACTGAAGCTTCAGTTCATCAGGAATAAACTGAAACCCAGAACAAAAAGACAACTGCTTTGAATAGAACCCATCTCATCTTTTCAACACAAAGACATGTTTTGTTTATTGCTGTTTTTCCTTCGCCGTGGTCTGACCTGGTTTGTGGTTGTGATCTCTTCTTCCTCAGGACAGAGTGTGGGCCAACGTGGCTAAATGTCTTAACTGTGTGATCGCCGTCGTGGATAAACTCCTAGAAGGAGGCAACAGTAAACAGGAAGCTGGAGCCGAGCAGCAACTGGCCGACGTCATAACCTCACACAACCCAGGTGAGATCCTTTACTCAAATATTTACCGTTCCTTAATGTTAGAAGGTTAAAAATCACCATCATCTTCACAGCAAGTCTGTATGTTAAGGCTTGTAGCTCCTCCTCATGTTGGAGATGAAGAGACATTGCCTGCAGAGGTCCAGCATACATGTATGTATATAGAGAGATGGTTGGTTGATCTGCAGAAGGAGATCAGCTCAGGATTAAAGTTGCCGTAGCTCAGAGACCTAACGGACAGGCACCCTACCCAAGGATTTAAAGCCACCCTGTGACTCGATCCCTCTGTTGGTAGGAGGAAAGAAACTGTAGAAAACCATTAATTTCTGCTCCAGTACCACCAACATGGATCCTCCTAGAACACAGGACTCCGTTTTCTTCTAACATAAAAGTCATGAGGTGATCCTTTGCATTAGGAAGCCATGATTGTGCACATTCCACTTTTCTGTCCAAACGTTTGCTTAAAGCATATTTCCACCTGGAATCCGTCTGCAGTTGGTTTTATTTTGTTTGGCCATTTTAGCAGGTTGGTGGAGAAGTTCAAGTTACGACTCAGCAGAGACTCATAGGAAATCTTCTGTTTGCTTGGATGAAGCTTTTCCACCTAAGAGCACACTATCAATCTATTTCTGTTAAAAAAAAATAATGGGCCATCTATACAAGGAAATTACATAGTAGTTGTTCAAACAAATGGACTCAGTAACAATTATTTCCCAAAAACTGTGAAGGTCGCCAACATAGTGTATACAAAACGAAATTTGGTTTTGCACAGCTTTCAGACAATAAATGAGCAGCAGCTAAGCAGTGAAAATAACATTTCTGGAAATAAATGAATCAAAAAGTTTTTTTTTTATATAAAACTAAAGATTACTAATCAATTAAAAGTATCTAATAAGCAAACACAGCTTTTTAAAGAGATTTAATCTTTTCACATTCAAACTCTCATATTGCTGCTGCTGTAGATTGGTTTATTTCTGTGTCTGACCCAAAGATGGCGGTGGGTGCAGCATGGCTATCTGTTTGCCTGCTCTAAGACCCTCAGAGCCAGGTGGCTCCAAAGGCTCCGCACATCGACCCACATTCCCAGGATCCTAACAGAAAAATTCTATTTTAAGTTTTATTTATGTCTTCTTAAACCAGAAATATGTTTTTTTAGTCTGTGTCATGAAAGCTTACAGTACTGCAGAACTAAGGAGCTGTGCTAGTGGTTGACCCAACTTCTCAGGCTCAGCAGCAGTCCTGGCCTCCTTTTGATGGATTCTGACGTGCTTTGCTCTTGAAGTCGTCTTTTTCTGGTTTTCTCCAAAGGAAATGGGCCCGATGTCATTGAACAGTTGTTTGGTTTTTGCTAGTGAGAACATGAAGCTGGTAGGCACCAGGATCTGGTCAGAACTCATTGGTCCTTAACCATTTATAGAAAAAAAGTATTATTTAGAAATAAATAAAAGCATCAAGTTTGCAAACATTTACAGATTTACCCAACATATAACATGAAATATAAAAATCTATATTTATTTCTATGCTGTAATTCACATAATTTCCTCTCAAAGTTTCTAAGGAAAGCCAGCTGATTGCATCCAGTCACTTTGCAGGATTCTCTCCTGTGGATCAACATGTGGAGATATTGACTCTTCAGCATCCCTCACACCAAGCATGCATGCAGCCACAGTCCTTTAACAGGAAGAAACCTCCAGCAGAACCAGAAGCAGGCTTAGTGTGAGCTGCTTTCTGCTGAGGCTGGCTAGGGTTTGGGGAGACAGAAGCAGACATAGAAAAGAAACATAGAAGCGCTGATCTATAAATAAATGAGTGGGGATGGGGGAGGCAGGTGTATCTGTGTGCAGGTGATGGACAGGTGGGGTCCTCCTCCTCTTCATCCTATTCTTCCCTCAGTCTGTTGGCAGCATTTCTCCAATGAGATGAAACAGGATTTTTTTGATTGTCCCCACATGCTGTAAATCTTCTGTGTTGACCAGAATAGAGTGTTCTGATCCAACACTGCCCCCTGCTGGTTCCCTAATACACTACTCATTACAGCCGGAATAAAACATTGCTTCTCTGAGGGTTGAAAGTATTTGGGGACTTTTAAATTGGATATTTACAGATGGTATATAACTCTCTTTGATTTTCAAATGCACCTTATTAATTTCAGATTAGTGTATCAGGACAGTTCATACCTCCAGCTAATCTCTATTATGAATCATCTTATCCAAGAGAGGTACTCTCTCCTCTATTTTAGAGATCATTCAGTTCATGATTTTCTTTTTCTTTTTTTTATGTGTTCAGATGATTTTTCTTTTGGATTTTTTTGTGGCTGAATTTCTGACCTTCAGAATTTGAATCTGAAATGTTTTTGTCATCGAACAGAAAAGCAGAATAAAGTTTTTTTCAGTTGGAATACATTTCTTAGAGCAGCTGAAGCCAGAGGTTTTAATTTATTCCAGATTGGCTTCATTGGGACCGTTTTTGGAAAATTCTTACTGAATCTGTATTTAGCTTCTATTTATCTTCTATCTAGTTGTCATGATGCGATGGTTTACTAGCCCATATGCAGACTCAGACACGGAGGGAGGAATAAAAGTCCAATGTTTATTGGAACACGGAGGAATCACAGAGGCTCAGACAGGCATGGTGGCACAGAGAAAACAAACGATCCAGCACAGAGAGGAGTTCACACACAGCTTAAATAGGAAGCCTCCTTAATCATAAGCTGATGAGAATCAGCTGAGCGTTGAGCATCAGCTCCTCAGGCTTGGATCCACGTCGCCCTCTGGTGGGCAAAGTCCCGGATCCTGACACTAGTTTAATAAAAGCACGGGCTGAGGATCTGTTGTATCAGCGGCTAGGGCGTCTAAGGCAGGAGCGTCTATCCTAGAGGACCACAATAATATGACAGAGGATGATTATGAACGCGTGAGTCACTAACCTGGTTTGACAGTTCAGTCCATGCCCAGAGAACGATGATGATTCCAGCCGGGCGGGTGACAAGATGCAGCGAAGGCTCCTATAGAGTTCCAGACGCTATAGCCTTGAAGCCTGCAGAACTGACAGGAAGTCAGATCCAAACAGACAAAGGAAGGCAGGATAATCCAGGTCAATCTTGGATTGCCAGTAGGCAGATCCAGGTTCAGTCCACAAGAAGAATCCAGCAAATGTCCGAAGACGGGTCAGGCAAACAGATCAGACGGGGGCAGGCAGGCTCAAAAGTCCAAATACAAACTGGGTCAGCATCAGACAATCAGAACACTATAAGTTTCACTAGAAAAACTCTCACCAAAAGGCTCAAGAATAATCTGGCTTATATGGCTGGGACCAAAGAGTTTAAATAGAAGCAGGAGCAGGTGGATCAGATTAGCAGTGAAGAGAAACAGGGCAGAGCTAGACAGGTGAATTAAATGAACAATCAAGCCAGCCATCAGTGCCAAAATCATAACAATTGTACCCTTCAGCAATAAGGTCTCTTAAGTTTAAAAGGTTAAACTTTTGTCTGAGGAAATCAAATCATAGAGAAATTATCAAGAAGTCTTAGATATGGCTCGCATTTGTTTTTAACTTAGTTTTGTCAAAGTTTGGTTGTGGCTTTGGACCCAAATGCAGAGACTGAGTGGCAGGGGTGAGTTCTTTAATTAATAAACACAGGTAACAGAGGCAGGAATCCAAAAAATTCAACTTAAAAATGTAAACAACCAGCACTGAAGAACTGCACAAGGAGAGTATTTAAGGTAGACTGAACGAAGAGAGGACTAGCAAGCAGATTGGGAGCAGGTGTGAAGAGAGCAGCCAAGGAAGGAGCTAGGGAAAAGGAGACCAACACAAGAGGTCTCAAATATATCCAGAAAATACAACAAAATAGGAATTAAACCAATAAAACTAGAAAACATGGAGCAAAGTAAAACATAACAGAACCAAGACCATGAAAAGTTTTCAGAACTTTATAGATTTCTACTGATCATTTTCAGTTTCTGTTTGAAATATCCCACAGGAAACATTGACCAATAGACGACTCTTCCTCTTGTCTCAGTTGAAATATAATGGACGTCTGCCTTATCTCTTTTTTCTTCTCATTCCCTGCCTTTTAACCTGAATTCCTTTTTTGCTCTGACACTTTCCCTTCTTCTTTTAAGAGCTTTTTAACTTTTGCGCAGTATTATAGCCACGTATCAAGAAGACTTCTGCAGTGATCTGCATTTTAAAGACTTTTCTTTGACTTCTCAATTTTTGGAAACTATCTGTTCCAAAAACCAGTCAAATGGTCATGTTAATCTCCTTATGAGACAGAGCCAATGCTTTGCCTCCACTGAAACAGCTGATTCAGTTTTGTGATGCGAATGCAGCCTTTCTGCTACCTACAGAAATATAAGGTTGGCTTTTACACAAACAGACTTTCTGAAATGAGCTTTTTGTTCTTGGTTTTATTCACAACAAACTAGCTTAGCTGCTACGGTTCTTTTCATTATTCAAATGATTTTCTTTTGCTTCCAGATTTTACACAACATATGCCGTTCTTATTAAGTGTAACTACATTATTTTTTTACATTTAAGCATTTATTAAGATCTTCCAGAAACCTTACATTATAAATATTATATACTTGGTGAACAGCTGGTATAAGGTGAGTTTCTCATTATCAGAGGCTGCGATCATTCATTTCCACGTTCCTCTTTTGTTTTGTCAGTTTATTAAAATTGTTAAGATGCTGTTGTAAAATGCTGATGTCAGTTTTTCAAAATGTTTGTGCAGTTTGGACAGGGTGTTGCTTTGTTGGGTTTTCACTCTTCTGGAATATGACAAATTCGATGGGATTCATTTATGTCTTTTTTTTTTTCATTTTTGTTGTTATTTCAGCAAATTTTGTTTTTAATTCCTTAAACTTTAGAGTTTTAATTTATTTATACTCTAATTCGGAGAACTAACCCTGATCCTAAAATCAGAAAATTACAACCTAAACCTTAGGTCAGCTAATTTAACATGATTTAAATTAACTGCTGGTGGGACCGACTTCTTAAATTGATCATAAAACGGCGGCGCCCTGCTCCTGAGGTGCAGTGTTCTATCTTTTAGAAGTATACCGGATCAGCATGTGTTCTGCACTTCAAAGGAAGGAATAATAGTATTGGTAAAGCTTTTCCCTTCAGCAAGGTTGAACTGGCACTGCAGCTTTCTATCCAACCAAACACTGTGACACCCAGTCAGGGATCTTACGGGTGATCCTGACCATTATTCATGTCCAGAAAGTCTTTTTTTTGCCTCATCAAACCTAATAACAAGTTAAACCATAAACTCCTTGTTCTGTTTTTGGATTTCTTTACTTTTACAGCTACATGTTCACTGTCTGCTGAGGCTGCATCCTGCTCATATGTTTTTTACAATCCTACCTGCAGTATTTCTAGCTGGTTACCCGTGTCACTTCGGGATCTACTGGTTTTTAACCCTTTAAAGCTCGATCCAAGAATAAAACAACACAGAAAATTACTTTTTTTTTTTGTTTGAAGTCCTAATTTGGCCTTTTAACAAAATATGTAAAAAGAAAAAACAGAAATACATTTTTGATATTAATAATTTATTACTATGCGATAAGTCAAGATTTTGTGTAGTCTTCTGCCCTCTGTTATCAGGTATATGTACAATAGGATTTTGAGCAACATTTTTACCATTAAATTATGCAAAAGGTGTGTTAGGTTTATGCTTTATACATCATGTGCATTGTTACTTTGCTAGCCGGATTAGAGAGAGTAGAAGGCCTTCCTTCACATTGTGAATGTCACTGTGTGTACGGAGGTCATCTAATCAGGACAGCCTTCACATGGATGGCGTGTCAGTTTCTGATACGGACAGCTAAGCATCCACCTGGTATAACACATAGACTCATGAGCTATAAGAAGGAGAAGATGACCCTGTTCGGGGCTCAATCTTTGCCGGACGCTCGCGGACGTGATTTTTGAGCCCACAGCTGTGCAAGCTCCAAGAATTATCTCTGTCCTGTAACGACCTGACCTGGAATAAGAAGGAGTTACTTTTTTACTTCTGTTTTATAGTCCTTTTTACATGTTATTACCCAGTTTGAGTTAAGAGTAGTAAATAACTTGCTCCCAGGAATAGAACCGTGAGGAAGCCCCTGAGGCGCAACGGCTTTTTTAGGGGACATAACTTCCTCATTTAACAGGTGTCAGACGTGAAACATTTCAGAAACCGTATGTATCAAATATGATACATATGGCATTACAGGGTTAAGTTTACTTAGCTCCATTTCAGGTTAGCTTTGTTTGGTTTCTGTGGATGCTATCAAGAGCAAGCTCAAAATCTCTTGCAAAGCTTTTTAACAACTCCAGTGTGTCAGCTGTTTTACTATGATTATTTTATTTTGTTTTAGACTGTTCCATATTTTATTTCTGCATGTTTGTGAAGCACTTTGTAACCCAAATATCTGTGAAAGATGCCATATAAATAAACCCTTACTTACTTACTGGTTACTCTAGGGCAAGCATCCCCAAAGTCGGTCCTCAAGGGCCGTTGTCCTGCAGGTTTTAGAGGTTTCCCTGCTCCAGCACAGCTGATTTACATTAATAGTTGATTAACAGGCTTTTGCTGAACTGGATTCATCAGCATCAGCTGTGCTAAAGCAGAGAAACCTCTAAAACCTGCAGGACTGCGGCCCTCGAGGATCAACTTTGGGGATGCCTACTCTAGGGTTTTCCTATGAAAGTATCCTACAGGATCTCTTAGCTTCCTCCCCCACGCAGTTCCTCCAGTCAACTGAACTGTGTGAGATATTAGAACCACTGAGATTGTGGTTTCTTCCACAGAGTAAGTCTGAAACTGCTCATAGAGGTGCAGAAACCTCTCATGTATGGTGTAATTAAACAGAAGGTTTTCACAATGCTTCAAACCCTTCAAAGTTTAAAAACTATGTTTATGGCCTGTTAGTGGGATGTTTTTAGAAAATGAAAATGCTGCAGGTAAATTGAATTTGAGGAAACTGAGCCTAGAAAGGGTCCTTGACTTTGATGTTAAAGGTGGCATGGGACCATTTAAGCATTATTTTAACATCAAGGGGAACCTGACAAACATTGCTTTAACAAAGTAATTTCTTTATAGCCTTTACACTTTTTGAATGTTTCATACTTTACTGCTTGAAATGCCCACCACCCATTTCCATCCATCCATCTTCTGCTTATTCCATCAGGTTCATGGTGGGGCAGGTGTCTATCTCCGGCAGTCTATGAGCGAGAGGCTGGGTCGCCAGTCTGTTGGGGGGCAACACAGAAACAAACAAATACATATAACCGATATGCACACACACATTCTAACACCTAAGGACATTTTAGCAATGCCAATGAACCTAACGGTTATTTTTTTTTAACTGTGAGAGGAAGCTGAAGTACTCAGAGAAAAATCCCTATAGCACAGGACAACATGCAAACTCCCAACCTCCCCAGGCTGGGAATCAAACCCGGAACCTTCTTGATGCAAGGCAGCAGTGCTACAAACTGCACCACCTTGCAGCCATTTCCAAATATCTCCTTCTATTAAGTTCTGTTTTTTTTCCATTTTCTCTGTATTCATAGTCCTGTTGTGGAACTAAGGTTCATGCCATTCCATTTCTCTCAGCAGGTGACTGGCGAGAGCAGCTGAGTCCTCCAGTGAGCAGATTGAAGGAGTGTGTAATGAATGTGGTGGAGAAAGCAAAGAGAGCAATGACATTCGTCCTCCTGCAGGAGGCAGTGTGCAGCATACCCCAAGGCTTCCATCTGCAGCAGAGGAGAGACGTGGTCTTCAGTCAGGCAGTAGGTGGCAGCAGCAGTCCTATAGATAGAACTGAGTGATCAGGTTCAGTGTTTTTATGTCAACATGTCATTGTGTTTGACCCAGAAAGGTCAAAGTAGAACTTGAACTTGTTGTTGTTTCACACCCACAGCTGGCTGCATTGGCGTGTGGCTTTGTGATGAAGCTGTATGCCGGCTTGCAGGACAAAGACTTCCTGAGGCAGCTCCACCTGGTTGGCCTGGTGGCTCAGTTTGAGAGCCTCCTAAGTACCTACAGTGAGTCAAAGCCAGCAGCTGGCACTAAGCCTACTCTGAATATTTGCAGAAAATTAACCCTCGAAAGAGATGTTTAGTGATTAAATCAGCTGGTGAGTGATAAGGCGGTGGCAAGTTGCACCACGTTAAAAATAAGTCAGTGAATCATTGCACCACGTTAAAAATAAGTCAGTGAATCATTCAGTTGTTGGTTTTGGCACAATGCCCCTCTCCGTGTCATTCAGTTCCTTCCTATTGAAATATAAACAGTAGAATAAAAGCGGAAAACTAGAGTCAGTGATAAAGTCGGTGTTTTGTCTTCCTGTTTAAGGTGAGGAGATCGGGATGCTGGAAGACATGGAGGTTGGAATCTCTGACCTGCAGAAGGTCGTATTCAGGATCACAGAGGCCAAAGCCGAGGACCTTGGTGAGCTGCAGCCTTCAGTTTGTGGCCGACGGTGAGACCCTCCCCCGTTCCCAAAGATGGAATAACCCACAATATATAAAAAATAAAAATAGGGGAGTGGTGGCCTAGTGGTTAGTGTATAGAGCTTGGAATCCTGAGGTTGTGAGTTTAAAAACCCACTCCGACATACTCCGGCATTCTGGGTTCCCTCGCAAAGACCCTGAACCCCACACTGCTCCCCACCAGGCGCCGCAAATGGCAGCCCACTGCTCTCCAAGGTGATGGATTAAATGCAGAGAGTGTAATGAGCTGGAAAAAAATGCACAAAAAAGATTGCTTCTCTGCAATCCAAGCAAATACTTTATTTCCAAAATTTGTCACCAGGAGCTAATTGTTCCATTGAACCAGTTCACATAAATTCTTTTTAGGTTTTTGTGAACTGAAATCCTCACATGTTCAGATAATCAGAATAATCAACAACAATGAAAGACAATGAACTATTTAATAGATAATCTATTTATGCCCTAAAAGTCTGCTTTTGTTCTGAATCTGGAAAGGAAACCTCTCAGCAGTTGTTTACAATAGAGTTAAAGTAAAGCAGTAATCCACCTGAGAGATTTCATATGTAAGTCTTCCAATTCCAGGAATTCTGGCTGAATCTTAGAGTGCTGAGGGCAGTTTTATGCCCTTCCTCTGCTGTCTTCATCTCTCAAACTCCTTCAGTTTCTCTCTGAGCATGTCCAAACTTTTCTCAGGTGTCACATTTACAACTTCCCGAAGGGTTTTTTGTCCAACAGAAGTGCAGAACGTATTGAATGTCTTCTAATGACCTCTTTGCTCTTTTCTATTGAATCCAGAGACCACTTCACTGTCGAAGTGCCATTACCACAAGTGATTTTCCAGTCCTTGCCAGAAGAGATCAAGGGGGGCAAGCCTCTGCGAGTGTTCCCGGTGCTGTTCAACGTGGGCATCAATGAGCAGCAGACCATAGCTGAGAGGTACTGCAGCACCTCCTTGAAACAAACATTGTTCTAGAAGATCTCAACTGATTAGATGTTTGGTTTGACTCTACCAATGCTTTAATGATCTGTCTCCTCATTTTTTCCATCTCACTATTTTAAGCTGCTGTAATATTTTAGGGGAAAGGTTAGGAGCTGTCAGTATCTAGCCTACAGAGCAGAGACTTATGTTTTCCTCTGAGGATCGCCCTGACAGCTTGTTAAAGAATAATGCAAGACTCAATATGAAGCAACTTCTGTCACATAAGCTGCCTTTTTACAAATAAGTTGATGATTTGCTACAAAAAAAGACAATATTCCACAGGAAACCATCCTTTGTGGACAATCAGGAATTAACTAAGTATCAGAAGCTTCAACCTCATCTTGAATTGTCTAGACTTTCTAATGATGACCTCTGAACCCCATCTTCACCTCTGGTCCCTCTGAGGGCCTTTCAGAAAGGATGCTGTCTGTGGTGTTCAGGCTCTATTATGCTGTGCAGAAGGTAACATTTCCTCATGTTTCTAATGAGCTAGGCTAACTTGATGTAGCGTTCCTTTGGCCAATCGGTGGGGGAATGGGCGGGGCTAAGAAAAGCTTGAGTTGTTCGACGCATTCTCTGCAATCTCTCTGAAAAACTCTAAACTTATGCTGATGAAGATTCTCAGTCATCCAGGTCATAGTCATTCCATAAAAGTTTAAAAAACAATCCACTGGACTTGGTTTCCAAGATTTGAAGACGTTTCGCTTCCCCTCCAGGAAGCTTTCTCAAGTCAAATGTCTGGATCCACAGTGAGTTTGGGTCTTTATATAGACAAGGCCTTGTATTGCTTGGAAACATGCAATGGGTGAGTGGGTCGTTTGGTTCCAATGTTAGCCTGTAATATCTGAAACCTGTCTATGATTCTGAAGGTCGGTCGTTAAGGAGGTATTGTTCACCGGCTGAAGAGAGGAGGTACTTTGTTCCTCTGTGATGGGGTGGGGGGTGTGGTGATATCTGGAAGGGATCATCTCTATAACTGAATTGTATGTTTTGGAAGCTGGAATCTGAGTCCCCCACCTCTGTTTAAAGTTGTTTTTTCTCTCTAAACATAGATGGCTTCCTTCACTCCCCTCTCAAATGTCTAGATCTGCGGATCCAGACATTTGAATTAAGAAAGCTTCCTGGAGGGGAAGCGAAACGTCTTCAAATCTTGGAAACCAAGTCCAGTGGATTATTTTTTAAACTTTTACAGAACTCTAAACTTAGATTTATACTAAACTTTATTTGTCCCTTGGGATTACTTCCTCAGGGAAATTCTAGTTCCAGTAGCTTATATAAAGTACAAAGAGTTAAAGCAAGATACCATTCAAGATAAAAATGCAACAGACAATATAAAAAGAGCATATATAGCACAAAAAAGCATTAAAAAAAAGAAAAAAATTGTAATGTCCTGGAATATGTTTCCTCTAGATATATATTTAAAAAAATGTCTGTACAGTAGAGAGCTAAGGGAAGACTACACAGTAATTGACTTGGGTCATTGCACTTGTACTGCAGAGATGTACTGACCTTATAAATAAAAAATTACACAGCTACACAGTAGGTGGCATGTGTTATTGCACAGTGAGAGAGACAAATATTGCACATGATTGACAATAGGTAATGTTTTGCATAAGATGTCCAAGGAGGGAGATGCTGACTCTTGTCCCTCGTCCTATCATCTCCTTCTTCCCCCAAGTGAGGACTTTGACTTATTGTCAGCTCTCATAACATTTCCATTTTCTTAAGGTGCAGCAGTGATCAATGTAAACATTGTGGGAGAAAAAACATGGTGCAAAAAAACGCATTGTTATGTTCAGTTTGATGCAGGGTCTGTGATATGATTTAGAGTTTTTTTCAACATTCAGCGGTCTGATGGCAGAAAGATGATGTTTTGGAATCTGCTGGTCCTGCATCGAATGCTTCAAAGCCTTTTCCCAGAGAACAGTAGAACCTTGTGGCTAAAAATTCTGACCGTAATATTTGAAATCTTAATTAAGTTAACATGCTGGGCCCCGTGAGCAATCAAAAATATTAGTTTGACACTCAGAGAAAACAATTTTAAAGGTTTGAATGAATCTCACACTACTTTACCTTCAGTTGGTCACCTGTTTGTTTTCATGGCAGGTTATAATTCGGATCAATCAGCAGAGCAGTCTGTCAGTCTGTCAGTCAGTCAGACTGGATCCCCTTTAGTGTAACAAAGATCCTCTGGACCTGCTGCTACTCCAGCTAGCTGTAACTCCATTCTCTGCAGAGCAATTTCCACCCAAGTCTATCAGACTCTTTGCAGCTGCCAGTTAGACATTGTCTCCCACTAGCCTCTGCATCTAAAAAGTTGAAATCATTGGTTAAAGCAGAAGAATGTGTTCTCTAACTACTTATATCTGTTCACAGGTTTGGCGATGTCTCTCTTCAAGAAAGAATAAACCAGAAGAACTTTGAGGTTCTCGAGGCCTATTATAAAACATTAAGAGAAAAGCTGCCACTAGAATGTAAGTCTTTATGTATTGAAGCATCTATTAAGCTAAGGGCTGTAGAAATGTAGACATCTTCAGACTCACTGGATGTCCCACATTAATCTGCTGCAGTAAAACAGATGCTGAGGTCAGGAAACAATAAATCTTGTAAAATGTAGTTAAATTAACCCATCAAGTGGGGCTGTGAATGTTTGTCCTAGCAGAGAGTCCCAGAATCTTGGTTTCAGATGATCCCGCATGATCATTTATAATGACATCTAGAAAATGTAATTTTCCCGTTCTGAGGTTACTGTATAATTTAAAGACAAAGTAATTACGCTTTACGAAAAACATAACTGGGCCAGAAGTGTCTGGAAGTGAAACGGGTCAGAAAGTTGGAGCCTGAATCAGATTTAGGGTTTTAATGGGCCTGCTTTCACTGCTCTCAGACCTTCACTGCTTCAGCCTGTTTTTGTTTTGCTCCAAACAGGTCTACCGTGTTTTCAGACACACGCTGACGTTAAGGAATTACTTGAAACACTGGGCCAGAATGTAGTCACAAAGAAGAGGAAGAATGTGGAAATACTCTGGATCGCTGGAACTGTGAGTTCAGTTATTAACAAACCTTCTCTTTCTGTCTCTCTACCATTTGAAAGGTTATGGGAGTTTGATTTTTGCTAAAGTACAAACGCTGTCATGCTACAGTTGATGTATGCTTTAATTTAGGCCAACAGCCAAAGTCAATAGAAAGATTGATGGCTGTGGAAGATGACACTGTTTGGATTCTGACCTATGACGGCTCTGTTTGCTGCTGGAAGACGGTTGGGTTTGTCCTGATTAAAGACATGTTGTATGAAGGTGCACAAGCTGCAGCCTGCTGTCAATGCTCCACTGCACGTATTTGCTCCTTATCTCTGCTCCATCTCATGGTGTCAGAGCTTTTGAACAAATTTGCTTGAAAGTGAGTGGAGCAAAGGTGATGATAAAAGTCGGCTGAATGTTTAACTTAAAAATTTAATGTATCCTGATGTAGAGTCCACCATGTTGCGGCCATTGTTGAAATCTTAGCTTTTATTCCTCAGTATTAACACTTTATGGAGCTTTTATTGGTGCTTTTCTGTTTGTTTTTAAATAACTAAAAACTATTGCTCGTTGTAGTCGGACATTTGTTGAGGAGATTAAGAATAAATTGAACCCAGCATCTGATTCAAACCCCCTTCAGTAAAACAAAGGATGTATAAAAACAATTAAAAACAAAAATTATTTGATTTTAAAAAGTAAAGTGTTGATTTTTGCTGCTGCTTCTTAGACTGAGACTTTCCAAGGTATAAACGTTAATGAACAAGAAAGTCTCTAAAAATATATGCAGTAGAGTGTTTCCATTCAGTAGGTAAGACCTGGATCTCCACGTTTTCCTTCCACTCAACTTTCCATCAATGTGCTTAGACACAGCACACTACAAGAGTGATTTCCCTTTTAGTGGAGGTTGTCACCATCAGTGTTTCCATGATCCGTTTTGTTACAAGACCCACAGTGATCAAGATAAACAAAATATTAAAAAAGTAATCTTAACAATCTTGCGTTTTAGTTGTTTCTGAGTTAAAATCAGTCTAAAACAATAATAAATTCTGACTGAAAATGAGTGTGCAGCATATTAAACACAGATCTAGATAGTAGAGTTTGATCCAAACAGCATCCATACCATAATAAGAACGATTGATGATCCCTTTTCAGTTATTATGGCTCTCAGATTTTTTATCCAGAATGCTCAAGAAGGATTAAGATAGAGTGGTTTATTTTCAGTCAGCTGACTGACAGGGCTCAGCAGCAGATGGATGGGGGGCTAGACCTGCAGCTTTCAGGTCATAGCTAATAACAGCTGTTAGATTAGTTAGCGCTGGTGTTTAAGGGGAGCTCAGACTGATAAAAAGAGGCGTTCTGGGTCTGTATACTGCTATTTACTGCTCATTACCAAATACACCCAGCAGCAAAGGATTAGTCCACCTTCTCTCACAAAGAGCTTTTTTTTTGCTTACGTTAAATGATGCCTGATGCAATGACTCACCTGTTTCCAGATTTGCCGAAGGTTGAATGGAATCCGGTTCACCAGCTGTAAAAGTGCCAAAGACCGAACATCCATGTCTGTCACGTTAGAGCAGTGCTCCCTCCTGAGGGATGAACACCAGCTCAGCAAGGACTTCTTCGTCCGCGCTCTGGACTGCATGCGAAGGTGAGACTCAGCTAAAAGCTTTCCTCATCTCAGAGAGTGCACGGTGTTATTGCCTCTGGTCTTTTAGGGGACGGGAGAAAATCACAACTCCCCACACCTCAGAGATCCTGACATTTAGCGGATAGAGGAACTTTCTCTGGACGTACGGTGCTGTGGAAAAGTTTGGAACAATGCACAGCTTATAGGTGTTCCCCAAAACTTTGGTCCTCATCTGTTTCTACTGTGCTGCCAAAAGTATTGGCACCCTCAAACAATTCTGGTTTGGTCATTTTCTCACCCTAAGAATATTTTGGATTGTGAAGGAAGTCTCACTAGATGAAAATTATGATAAACCAAGTAGATAAATGTCACTCTGAGCTCATCTGCTTGGCTGTGTCTTTCCTAGACACCTTTAGAGCTGATTGACAGTTGCCTTTTATTTCTCTGCTTCTTTATGTGTATCTGCTTCTGTCACGAAATCAGGACAGATGGACCCTGTATTCAAGGTGAGAGAGTCAGTAGGAAAGTTTTGAATGTTTATTAAAACAAAACCGAACATAACAGAACTGAAACGGGCTGCTTTTGATCTGTGGACCTGCAGCGACTGCAGGGAAAGGGGAGCAGGGCACTGCCTAATAGGTGTCACTTTCTGTAGGGAAAAACACAGGTTAGTGACCACGATCATCTAACAAGAGATGATTATCAGACTGAGTCACTTACCTGGTTTGACAGTTCAGTCCATGCTCTTCTAAAGAGATTAGATCCAGCCGGCTGGCTTGTTCTTCCAAAAGTGTCAGATGCCGCAGCCCCATAGAACATACAGGAGGCCGATCCAGGAAGGGGAAAAAAAAGAGTAGGCCGGAACAGTCCAGGAACCCAAGAGTCCACAGCTGATCCGAAGTTTAGACCCAAACAGGAACAGAAGGATCCAGGACTCCAGGAACCCACAGAGCGTTCAGGCAGGTTGAGAGTCCAGAGTCAGACGGGTGCAGAAGCGTGCCCACACAGACACGCACAGATGCAGACAGGCAGGCTCCGATGCAGACGGACAGGCTCAGTGGTTGAGAGAACAGAGACAAGACGTTGTACCAGAATTTCTGCAGGAAACTTTAAACTGGTCTCCTCGTAGGAGCCAGGTTTACAGGGATAAAACTGAACTTGGACCAGGACACAATCAGAGGACAGGACAAACACAAAAAACCCTCTCAATCCACTGGCTGCCAGGAACTAGGACATGAACCATGGAATAAACTAAAACTACCAAACAGACAAATGGAAAACAAATAATGATCTGGCCCCAATCGCTTGGGCTGAACCGAATATTAAGTACAGACATAGGTGGAAAAGATGCGTAAAAATTAGGAACCAGGCAGAACTTGGCAGGTGAGTGAAATTAACAATTATGGGGAAGCTATCAGGCCAGATTATGATAGCTTCTTTCTCCTTGAACCCCAGTTGGCAGATGGCCGCTAACACTGGTTCTGGTTCTGCTGGAGGTTTGATCCTGTTAAAAGGGAGTTTTTCCTCTCAAATGTCGCTAATAGAATGCTCGGTGTGAGGGATTGCTAATGGATGGGTTAATATAATCAACTGGTTTTCCTTACATAGAAAACTTTTAACCATCTGACTGGATGATCTGGTTGAATTGTCTCTATAAAGTGCCTTCAGATGACATGTTGTGAATTGGAGCTATGTAAATAACCTGAATTGAGTTGAACTAAATGATAATTACCTTATTTAGAAGACGAATCCGTCCAAACCAACGTATTTAAAGATAATATGAACTCATGAGAGACATCACCTCTCCCCTGCTCCATAAAAAGACAATGTTAGGTGACACCTGGATGGTGGATTAAGGAGTCCTTGCTGGTTTTCACCAATGCTTTATGGGAGTTGGTCCCCAAAGATACACATGAAGGTCTCAGAGGGTGAGACTATAAACAGCTTTTTTCCCCAATTAAAACAATCGTTATGTAAAAACAAATCTTTCCCTTTTATAATGACAGTATTTGATTATCACATTCAAATTAAAAATATAAGTTAAAACAAAGGGAGTTTGTATGGAAACAGGGAAACAGCATCATCTGCTACATATTTGCTTAAGTATTCATCAGTACCTGGTTGAAGTAAAGGAGCCACATGCCGTTTATTACATCTGAACTTTGGAGCGAAAACTTTTGCACAGTACCGTACCAGTAAAACAGGCAGGACAAGATCTGTCTGCTCTTAGATCACCTCCGAGAAGTTCCTGAAACCAAATTCCTCCTCCCTATTCATAATGAAGTAGACAGGCCAAAAGCAAAGCAGAGGTATTATAGCAGGCATCTGCATATAATACAGCAAAACCTTGCACCCAAACCATCCTGTCCTAAGAACACATCACCATGAGCTGTGCCTCCTTCTCCTCCTTCATCATCATTATCATCCACCCTCCTCCTGTCCTGCATGGAAATCATGTTTACACCAGCAGGAGAAACATCCACTGCTGCTCCAATCTAATCAGATCAGACTTTGGACCCTTCTGAGGCGCTCATGTCCAGCTACAGGCTGGTGACGTAAAAAGCACAGAACCCGGTTGGTCCACAGTATTGGGTTCAGACCTGAGAAACCCTTTAAAGATGAATTTAGTTCGTGCTGATCTCTGGATAACTAAGGAATTTAAGGATTATGTCCTTAGTTATGAAATCAATCATGGTGTTGGTTGATGATCTAGATCTAAGGGAACCTGTCAGACTCATGATTGCCCAACAGTTATGAAGCCCAGCACCTGTCTTTGATGATGTCATGGTGCACAGGTGGAGATCACACAGGAAGAGAAACTAAAGAATCAGTCTGTGACAGACTGTAAAGTCTTTAACTGAAATAGTTCTATAATCTCAGTCATTCAGTTCTGTAATTTCCTGATAGCAAGGGCTTTACTTTATAATCTTAAACCCTTTTGCATAACTTTAACAAGACAGGAAGTTTCTCCTAAATCTTTACCACATTTCAGGAGGACAACGTAGATTTTCACACTTTCTGGGCATTACGACCTTTCAGGTGGAGGTTCAGAATTGGAATGCTAACTCTGAGCGCTTACAAGAAGCCCAGCCTGGTTGCAGCTGTGTCCTCACAGGTCTGCCTAAAATGTGGATCAGAATGCTGCTGCCTGCGTCTTCACTAGACCTAAGAAAGTAGAGAACGTCAGTTCAGTTCTATGTTTAAAGATATGCTGGTGAAGATTCTCAGTCATCCAGGTCATAGTCATTCCAAAAAAAGTAAGTTAAAAACAATCTACTGGACTTTGTTTCCAAGTTTTAAGACATTTCGCTTCACATCCAGGAAGCTTTCTCAATTCAAAATGTCAGGAATAGCGTTTAGTTCGAGGTCTTATACAATAGCCCAACAAGGCATTGTTTTTTTTTTTTTTTAAACATGCTAATACCCTTGGGATGGGGGTCATTTGGCTTCTTTTGTTAACCTGCAATTCCCCATACCCATCTAAGTTTCTGAAAGGTTGGTCATTAAAGGGAATTATTGGCCTGGCTGAATGGGCGCCCCTCTGCTGTAAAGGGGCTGGGGCTGCGATGATAGCAGGAAGGGATTAACTCAAGTGCTGCATTGTAGGTTGTTTATAGCTGAAATCCACCCCCTCTGTTTAAGGTTGTTGTTTTTTTCATGGATGACTTCCTTTAAGCCCCTCTCAAACCACCTATTTTCTTTTTCCAAAATGTGAACCTTCTGGTCCAGAAAAAGAATGTCGTTTTCTATAAGGTGTAGATGTATCGTACATCTATTGCATGTTTTCAAAACAAAACTCAACTCTATTTCTGACATTTTGAACTGAGAAAGCTTCCTGGATGGAAAGCGAAACGTCTTCAAACTTGGAAACAAAGTCCAGTAAATTGTTTTTACTTTTATTTTTTTGGAATATGTTTAAAGATACAAAGCAAACATGTGAATCTGTGCTCAGGCTTTCAACCCTGTGTGAGTTACTGACCAACCAGCTGATGTTGCCATACAATCTGATTTACCAGCAGGTCAGCTGTTTCTTTAAAACCCAGAACAAAACATAGAGGAACAGCATTTTATTCTTAGGCTAACTTAAAGACAATTTAGTTAACCCAACAGTCATGTTTTTGGACAGTGAGAAGGTGGGGGAGTACCCAGAGAGAACCCATGCATGCACAGGGTGAACATGCTAACTCCATGCAGAAAGACTCTGAGCCAGGAACAAAACCCAGAACCTTCTTGCTGTAAGGCAGCAGTGCTGCAAACTGCCCCACCCTGCAGCACTCTTGAATTTGTTCTGTTATTGAACTAAAGCTGTGTAGCAATCAGTGACCTCAGCGGTCCTATCAGTGTTACCTAGCTTGATACTTCTAGCCATGATCTGATATGAAGAAACTCTTTGGATGAGAGGTGGAAGAAGCCTGGTTGCCTCCTGGATGGTGAGGAGCGTTCACAGACACATCTTCCCCAGAACCTCTGAGAGGAACGGAAGAAAGAACCCTTCTAACCAAAGATTGTTCACATTTCTAGGCCTAGAGTGTGGTCACACATGCCCAGCATTATGGCCATCAGTTAATTATTTATATAGTTGGTGATAACATAACATGCTCTGGTGGCTGGAGATATTGAATGCTGGACCAAAGCAGCTACAGCAGCAGGTATTTAGAAGAAGGAAATGGAGAGTTATTGTGAAGCTGCATATAATTAAGTAATATTTATGGCAGAATTAGTTGAACTCTTTGGGGAAAGAAAAGATGGCAGCATTTCAGCCGCTCTCAGATGGGACAGGCGGCTTCACTGTGTGCTGCAGGTGTTTATTCTGCTGATGGTTGTAAAACCACAGACTAAAGTTACATCAGCTTATTACAAACCTCTGCGAATAATTCACAGCTCCTTTGTAAATGTTTTCTTATTGCCGCTTCATCCAGCCCACCATCCTGAGTGCTAAGTATTAAGATTTCATGTGGCATATTGTGATGTGGAAACTGCCAATATAAATCTGTAGAGGTTATAATCAGTCCCTTTTTACC